TTCCTTACAAGGGAAGGGTTTTGAAGGAACAAAACAGAAAAAAAAAAAAAGGGTTTTTTTTTGGAAAAAGGAAGAAACCAGGGGGCAGGGGAAAGGGGCCAGCACCCCTCAAAAATTAAATAATAAGGGGCAATACTTTAATCAGGATTTATATTTTTATTGGGGGGGGGGGGGGGGGTTATTGGGGGGGAGGAAGGTTTGTCCATGTAAAAAAATAAATAAATAAAGGAAAAAATCCGGGGCCCACCACTTTTTTTTAAGTTGTTGGGGGGGGGGGCGGGGAAAAAATTTTTGCCTGGAAAAAAAGCCCCCCCCGCTTTCCTTTCCCATTTATGGGAAGGAAATAATGGGTAAAAATTTTTTTTGGGGAAGATATAAAAGAAGCAGGAGCAGCAGCAGGAGCAGCAGGAGCAGCATTTAGTGCCCCCCCCCCCCCCCCCCCCCCCCTCCATCGTAAGTCTCGGAGGATTTCCCAGCCTTTCTTTTTCGTCGTGAGTACCTACCTCGACTTTCGTTCAACACGCATGCTCGCTTTGTACACAAATCCCCCCACCCCTTCCACGATCTCTCTCTCTCTCTCCCTCGCTCGCTCGCTGTCTCTTGGTCCATGACACCATCACCATCCTTCCCTTCCCGTACTACAGTCAGTATGTCCATGATGACGAGTACTTCCAAGCAAATAAACATGTGTAGGAAGGAAAGAATGCAACCTATAGTAGTACCATATACACTGAAAAGCAACGCACGCACACGTTCAGTTCGCGACCGCCCATCGTCCATTCATTGCGTCGCCTCCGGAAGGACGACCTGCTGCCTGACGGTTCGGTTGCTGATTGCGTTCGAACCGTCCCTCGATAGTCTCGGCGATCGCCGTCGAACACTGGCTATAATAGCATGTGGTGCTGCTGAAGATATTCTGCTCCTTCCTGGTACCACATAATAACATAATAACAGGTAGGTCGAAACAGAAGAAGAACCCCCCCGCCCCCCCCCCGTCTCCTAATCTCCCTTGAGAAAAAAGAAACGCTCAGATAGATGTTGTCCGCCCCCACGCCAATTGCCGGCAATTCTTCCAGAATCAACCACGTACGTACGTACGAAATGAATCCATCGACTACGTAGCATTATTACGTCTTCTCTGCAGTTGGCACTAGCAAAACGCTCCTCTCTCCGTTTCAAGACGGCTTTTTGTCGACTGTGTGCGACAAAACATCTCCACTGCCCCCCCCCCCCCCCCCCCCC